CTTATCATAGGGTAGCCCATCCTTTTTAGGTTTCCTCCAATCTTCATCACAACGATCCCCGCTTGAAAAACATGCTTGAGCTTTCCGATTTCCATTCTCATCAAGGTGGCAATCCTTTGTTAGATGTGGACCGCTATAGTTATCACACCCGAAACGAATGGCATGGATGGATTGGTCCATCTTTGTCATCCTACGATCCATGTTATCCAACTTGTCCATTACCGCTGCCATATCATCAGAAGATGCGTTCACCGTTCCTCTAGTTGTGTCATTACCAGGATTATTATATTCTCTTGAATGTTTAGAGAATTCTTCAATCAACCCCTTTATTGCAGATAGTGCTTTCATCGTGAGTGGTCCTTGGGAATCAAGGAGTTGTCTGGTTGTTACATTTACCCCTTCATAGAAAATGGAGACCTCTTGTTGAACATCGATATCATTCTGGGGTCAATCTCTCCCATGCCTCATAAAGTGATTCGCCTCCTAGCTGTTCAAAATTGGTAATTTCTTTCTTTAACTTCGTGACTTTCGATAGTGGGCAAAATTGTTGTATGAACTCTTCACGGATCTTTAGCCATGTTGTTATTGATCCTGGAAGGAGTGCCTTCAACCAATCATGTGCGACTCCTTTGAATGTAACCAGCAGCATCCTTAGTAGCACTGTCTCGCGTGGCACATTTAGAATGTTGAAATAGTTGGCGATGTCGTTGACCTCGTCAATGTGCTTGTAGGCATCCTCGTGATCTTTCTAGTAGAATGGAATGTCCTTCAGTTGGGCGAGTATGTGACCTTTCAGCTCGAAGTTTGTTGTTTCTGGAATCACGGGTTACACAAGACCTGGCCCAATATCGTCACGTATCCGCTTCTTGTATTCCTCCATTGATATTTCTGCAATGTTTGCCATAACTACTTCTGATTCGGGTTCACTCTTCTCTTCAGATTTGTGTGTCTCGGGCTCGTAATCCGCTGCCTGCTTGTCATGAGTTTTCTTGAAGCTTTCAAAATTGCTTGATTCCCCGATTGTTTTGTCCTTCTTTTTGCGAAAAGCTGATTCCAGATCCTCCAATGGTGGTATTACTGGAGATTTGGATCTTCGAGTCATAAACTAACTGAAACAAAATAGAAAATTACGTGTAAAACGAACAAAAACTGGAAGTAGGCTAAACACGACGTGGTTATTACTGACCACGGCGTGGTTAACACAAAAACATAATAAAACGACAATAAAATTTTAAACAGAAAACTTGTAACTTTATATGAGAAAAATCTCACACAAAGGATTGATAACAATTAGAAAATAAAATTAACTATTATTGAACCGTTCCCCGGCAACGGCGCCAAAAACTTGATACGTGAAATATATACTAGTTTTAATCCAACTAATATAGACAAAAACTAACACACGATTGGTAGTGTACCTAATTGAATAGCAGTTTAGTGCAAGTAAGTAGGGTATCGAACACAGGGAACAGTAATGATAATTAAAATTACTACTAATGTTAACTAATTTAAACAATGATTAAAAAGGGGTTTTTTCTCTAGTTTTACAAGACTAGAAACTTAAATAATCACTCAAACACTTAGCAAGGAATCAATTAACAACTAATTAAGGAACAAAAGACGATTTGAATCAAGAATATTAAAGAGACTTCTGTTTAGATACAATTCACTTACTCTTATGGTTGATTTCGTGGAAAGTGCAATTGATTAATGTGTCATCAGTTACCGATTTCTAATGTGATTAGGTTAATGTTCACTAAACTAATCATTTAGAAAACAGGTTAATTCAAATAGTGATCAATTGGCTAAACTAACAAGTTCACTGGTATTAAGTTCGAATCATGCAAGACTTGTAATGGTGATTAATTTAATTGGTTGATTAAATTAATTCATATATGGTTGGTCATCATATATAACTCACACATCAATTTACTTAATTTTTCTTATTAATCCTAGGTTTTGTTCAAAACACTAGTCTTACAATCTTGATGGTCACAAAACTATAAGATTCAAGCAATCAAGAGAGATAGTCATACAATCTCAATTAACTTAGTAATTAACAGAAAAATAATTATCATTAACATATGAGGTTCTTTTAACAAGATAACATGATAAATAATCAAATCAACACAATCCAAAACCACAAAATCAACACATAGTTTTAAGAACCTCTACTCTAAACGAAAGTAGGGTTTTTAGCCCATGACTTCAGCAAATACAAGCATAAAAACGAAATTCACTCTTGCAAACATAATGAAAACAAAGGAAATAAGTAAAGTATAGATGATTTGCCTTAGATCTCTTCAAAATGAAGATTAGAATCGAATTATGCACTCCACATCTCCTAAGGGATGTCTCTGGCCTCCAAAAGTCAATAAAAACTTCCAGCATAAGTTAGGGTTGAGGAACTTAACAATCTATAAATAGATTCTAAAAAACGGCAAAACTCGGTGTGGTTAATCACCAACACGTCGTGTTCTTCATTAAAAACGTGTATCCGACAAGGCAAGAATCCATCGTGAATCTTCAATACACCACGCCGTGTTTGATGTAAACATATTTCTTCTTCTTCTTGAAAATCCAAGATCCTAGCTTCCATTCGCCAATTCCGCTTCTTTTTCTTTCCGAGCATGTCTTGGCTACTGTAAAATAAATTTTCAACCAATAAGTACCTTTTGTTCAATAATTGACACAAATGCAACATAAATATTAAGATAATGCATGAATTATATGACTAAATATGCACATATCAACTTACATGCATTTGCTTTATTTGCAATGTAAATATCGACAAATGATTTTTTAATCTAAGAATGAACTTCTTCTGTTAGAGGTGGTTGTGTGGCTTATAATATATATTGAGATAGAATTGGAAAAATATTGGTGACATTGGCTTTTGTTATGTAATTCTTATAGTCCTTTATGATAAATTAGAGCTTATAAAAGAGATAAATCTAAAATAGAACATAGATATATATCATGGAATAGCCACTCCAAGAGTTCAAAAAAATTGTAAAAAAGTGTTAATATAGTCAATATTTATCTTCAACCATTTAGTGAAGTATCTTCATTGTTGCGTCACTTGGACAATCATAATTGTCATTGTTTGACCCATGGAATTTAGTGGTATAGTTCAAAATGAAACACCAAGTAGTGAATAGTGATTTTCCACAAATCTCAGTTCCCTTAGTCTTGTGACCTAATTTGGGAAGGGTATTTATTTATCCATCTACCAGTTGTGAGACCCGTATACTACATGAGTTGATTAGAAAAAAGTTAAATATGAAGATGTAAGCATTAATGATGAATAAGTACTTTAATGTATACAAAAAAAAACTATTGATATATTTTAAATAATTGTCCTGAATTACAAAATTATAAAAACTTCTTTGAATTTAAGAATTTTGAATTTATAAGGAAAATGAGTCAATTAATGAATTTATAAGGAAAATGAGTCAATTACTGAATTTTTAAATTGAAAGACATTTATTACATAAACACTAAACAAAGAAAATAATAAAAAGCAAAAAAAAAAACTCATAAAATGTCATGTGGAAAAAAATTAATTAAAATAACCAAAAATAACATGTGGTGAAATCACCAAGAGTGCAACATATGGCAAAAAAATGATTTTCATTTATTGGTATAGATCGATTGAAACTTCATCTTCAAACAGCTTGGTGACAGTAACAAGAGGAAGATGAAGTACATCTCCTTCTTAAATATGAAAGATTTGAATAGTAAAGTTCCATTTATGGTGTTCCTAGTGCAACCATTTTTTGTGAACTTGCATGTATACAGAATTCACAAAACATTAATAAATAAATTATAGATAAATTAACATCATATTATATATATATATATATATATATATATATATATATATATATATGACAAGGGATCAGATTCCATAAACCTAAACATTTCTACATATTGAATGTTCGCCTCGTTTTTTTTTAATTGACAAACAATGTAAGGCTGGGGAGTGGTGTCGAGTGCACCGATCTCCACCTCAGCTAAGCATCTTTTTCTTCATTGTAATGCCAAATAGAGGGAGTGGAAGGAATGACGAAGAAGAAGGTTGCCGAGGTAGGGAGAATAAAGGGGGAAGAAGGCAAAAAAAGAGCTCGACAAAACTTCACCCAGTTTGGCCACCGAACTCGGCATGCCGAGTTGGTGGCCCAGCGTTCCCCACAAGTCCAAATCAGCTTTTGTCGAGAAGTGCCAAGACCACTCCGCCAAGCCTAATGGGATTGCAAGAATAAAAAAAGGAGTACAAAATTTTGGCTATTTTTAGAGTAATATGCGGACGAGAAGTTACTCAAAGAGAGAAACTTTGTGGAATGAGGGAAGTTTTCTAGAATGAGGGGAATACTAGTTTTTAGGGATACTATTAAAGTAATTTTAAAAGAAGGAAGTAGCCCAGTTTTTTGAATATATAAATATGTCTCAAAATTAAAACACATTTAATTTTCATCCATTCGCAAAAATGATTTTTGTGATGAGAAAAAAGCTGAAAAGTTGAAAATACATTTGTTGCCATTATTACACTCGAACATTCAAATTCATTATTAGATGAAAACTCTTTAAATAGTCGTTGGTTTGTGAGAGTATTTAATAACGGTTGGAAACGTGAAAAAATATAATCGATATACATTTTCACATGAAATTATGCACGATGAAGAGCTCTAATAGACTATAAGCTCACTAATCTGATTGAAATACGTCTTAGAGTTTTTATTTAGTATAGGAATTTTGTACTTTTGAAACAATTCGAGAACATAACATTTCTTCAAAATATTGTGAATAACATATCTATTTGTTAACTATGTGTATGATGAATTTAGTTCTTCAATATTTTGTCAATTCTTGTTCTTGACTTTGATGATTTATCAATTGAAAATGTACTCTGAATCTTATCATTTCAATTTTAAAATTCAAAAGTTCGGACACATTACGATTTACATTTCCTATGCCCGTCATATGATCTATTGTATATATTAGTGAATTGTAATTTTACCATTACGCCTCCTTACTAACTTCTCAAAATATTTATCAAAACCATCGTTTTTTGAACTTGTGATCGACATATCACCCTTCTCCAACACCGCATCAACTACAATTTTAGTCTTTCGATGAACACCCATAAAGGAGTTGGAAATTTGGGATGTTTTGTGTTCATTTTCGGAATAGTAGCTACTTTCTTTACGATAAACAGACATTTCCAAGCTTTCACTAATGTCATTCCCATCATTTGGATTACTACCATAACAGATTCGGAAATTGTTCATGCATAGTGATTTGTCAAGTTGACAAGATGATGATAACTTCAGCGACTTGATTGAATCAAACAAATCAGAATGCATGTCACTGTCACATATCACCACATGTTTGGTTGATCTGCAAGAGAATCTACATGATAAGCTACTTCGTACATCATTAATAATGAAAGGTTGCCAACTCAAGATAACATTGGTTGCATTTGTTACATTGGATAAGACTATACATACTACACATGCCTTTTAGGACTATGTTTCAAAACATAATGTTTTGATAGAAAGAAATAAGAGTAAATATGTCTTTTAAGACTATTTTCAAAACATGATGTTTTGATAGAAAAAAAAAATAAGAGTAAATATGTCTTTTAAGACTGCTTTGCAAAACATAATGTTTTAATAGAAAGAAATAAGAGTAAAGATGCAATAATAAAAAATTTAACAACGAAATGGCCCATTGCCTAACGATATTAGTTACAATAGGGTTTTAAGTATTGCTTGAGATAAATGTATTGTTTAGGAGTAGATTAGACTCTAAAGGACGTGCTTGTTAGTCATTTCGAAAAAATAAACAAAAATAACAAAAGTACATAACTGTAGTCTTCATTTAACTTTAGAAGTAACGCAAGTATTATTACCTATTTGACATTATTGGGGACGGTGGATGCATCCCCCGTAGGGGTATCTTAAGAGACTTTGAAGCAAACATTTGTTGATCTGCTATCAAGCCATTCATCCTCTTGATATCAACCACCTAATGTTAAATGTAAATGGATAAATAAATAAGAAAAAACATCATAAATGGTCCCTGTGGTTACCAAAAATCTGAAGTTTAGTCCTCGTGGTTTAAAAACCTTATAGATGGTCCGTGTGTTTTCAAAACTTTTGATGTTTGGTCCTTTTTGCTAACTCCGTTAGCTTTCTACCGTTAAATGAAGGGTATTTCCGTCATTTAACTATCCAGGGACCTTTTATGAGGTTTTCTTTTATTTTATTTTTTTAAAAAGAAAAAATAATTAAATTTAATATCCAATGGGTCTCTCTCTCTCTCTAGAACAGACAATAAGATAAACAATCATAAAATGGCAGATCGTTTCTATCCAAATAAAATGTCAGAGTTCATCAAAGAAGAAGACACACCTCCACCTGAAACCACCACAAATCCCCTAACAAAGACTCTATCTCTTCCCTACAACCTATTTTCCGATCAACTCAAAGGAGCAACCTTTGACCTCAAACAAATTGTATTTTCTACTTCTTTATTCCCTTAATTTATGTTTTCTCCTTTTCTTCCTTGTTTTCAAAGTGTACAAAGTTACACACGGAGAAGAAACAGAGAAGAACATGAAACCAAGAACCACAAAAAACATGAAAGACCTACCCCTTTTCGTCTCTTACCTGAATCAAACTTTATTTCCCTTCTATCATCTCTTCATTCACACAAACACAACCGACTTCAGTTTGATTCAAATTTAAGGCTCCAATTCAGACTTCCCCTCTGCCGCCACCGGAGAAAATACAATCCATAAATGAGGTCACAATCAGCTATGCTTCTTAGATGCGTGCGTCTCATGCGTGTCCTGACAAGAAGAAGAAATTGCTGCCCTTTTCTACGACTTGTTCTTAAACGAATCAGGCAGCAAAAATCACAGCTCCCTTCAATCTCTTTTCACCTAAATCGATCGATCTCTCATCTATTTCTATATTTCCCAAATCACACAAGGATTGGTCCTCCTTATCTAATCGATCGCAATCCTTCCCTCTTCTCTCGAATTTGATGTTGCAGATCTATCATTTCAGGGTCAGATTTGGTGTTGTAGATGTAGACAATGGACCTTGATTCAAGATTTGTGTGTAAGAATGGTCACCGGTGGTAGTGGGTATGAAGGTGGTTGTCGGTGGTGGTAGATATGGCGTTCGTCAGAGGTGGTGTGTAAGAAGCCAATCACAAAATGTAGGCTATGATGGTTGATTCAATGCTTTCCAGTTTCCACATTCTTGGAGAGAGAGAGAGAGAGAGAGAGAGACCTTTTATATATTTAATTATGTTTAATTTTTTCTTTTTTTTTTAAATACGAGAAAACATCATAAATGGTCACTGTGGTGGTGAAATGACGAAAATACTCTTCAGTTAACGGACAAACTTAACGGAGTTAGCAAAAATGACCAAACATCAAAAGTTTTGAAAACACAGGGACCATCTATGAGGTTTTTAGACCACGAGGACTAAACTTCAGATTTTGGGTAACCACAGGGACCATTTATGATGTTTTTTCAATAAATAATGATGTACTTTTATTCTAGAAAAGAGTCAATAACTCACTAACTTAAGTGTTATTTGTTTTATACTGAATGAGGACAATATTAGTATTTTATTTTAAATTAATGCATACAAAAATATATAACTAGGCGAATATATGCGCGTTACGCAAAATATAAATATATAGTTAAATTTTGACAAGTACATTTTGAAAATAATTATGTTATGGATACTAACTATGAAATAATAGTTTCTTACATTAATTTGTTATAGAAAATGTAATGATTTTAAACCATATTATAACATCAATTAAAAATCATATCATTTTGATGGTCGCTACTCGCAACTGACATGTGGATAAAACTAAATATAATCCTTGATTTATTGTTGTTGCTTTTAACGTTATGATTAACTATTTTGGAAATTACTTATTTGACCTTTTATGTAAGATAAAATAATATAGGTTAAAACATATTTATATGTTTTAACCTATTCTAAAAAATAATCTTTGAATAATTTTAAGTTTAATTGATATTTTGATGTATATTTTACACTTAACATGACATTTAAATTAACATTTTAAGTATATTATATTGATAACTCAAAAAATCTACCATTAGTATGATTATATTTATTATTTAATAGCACATGTAAATTATATATATATATATATTATATATATATATATATATATATATATATACATATATTAGTTGTGAGACTCATGTATTACATGAGTTAATTTAAATAAAAAAAACTAAATATAAATATCAATATATTTAAAAACTTTGAATTTGTAAGAAAATAAGAAAAATAATGAATTATTATAATGGAAATTTTTTTTATCTTTTAAATTTAAACAAATATTTTAAATAAATAAAAGAAACTAATGAGCTTTAATTTTGGGAATTTTGAAATTAAAAGTTAAGTTCATTAATGAAATTAATATCCATTTATTACTACATTTATTATAATTATTACATTAAAATATTATGTGGAATTTAATAAAATAAAAAAAACTCATAAAATAACATGTGGAAAAAAAATTCAAAATAATCACAAAATGACATTTGGCAAATTGAATGAGAGTGTGAAAAATAGCAAAAACAACATTCATTTATTAGAAAGGATATATATTTTCTCCTTTTATAAATTCAATATCGAAATCAAAATTGCCCAACAATGCTTGCCATCTAGCAAAAATTTGTTTAGAAATAATATTTTTAACATCTTTTTCTAAAATTGATTTTGCAGATTGACAATCAATTCTTAATAAAAAAAATTTCATAAATAAATCATCTTCAAATTTAGTAATACATAAAACAATACTTAAAATCTCCTTTTTAACAGTTGAATAATTCTTTTGAGTATTATTTCAAGCACCTGAATAAAAACGAACCAATTGTTCTTCAGAGGAATTTGATAATTTTTGTTTTAAAATACCTCCAAATCCAATATCACTAGCATCAGTTTCGACTATGATATTAGCATGAGGATGTGGTAAATTTAAACAAGGTAAAGAAGGAATTTTTTGTTTTATAAGTTTAACAATATTAGTATGTTCTTGAGTCCAAGGTTCTGGATTATTTTTTAATCTATTATAAAGAGGTTTGCAAAGAGTTCCTAAATCTTTGAAAAAATCATGAATATAATTTAAACATCCTAGAAACCGTTGAAGTTGTTTTTTATCTATAATTTCATCAGGAAATTTATTAGAAAATTCTAAACTTCTTATAATAGGTTTAATAGTATTATTAACAATGTTATGTCCTAAAAATCTAATTTCATTTTGAAATAAATGCATTTTCTTAGCTGAAACAGCTAAGCCATTTTTATAAATTAAATCATAAAACTGATTTAAATGTTTGAAATGTTGATCAATAGATTTTGAAAAAATAAGAACATCATCAATATAAACAATTGAAAAACTATTTATAGGAATGATAATATCATTCATAACGTTTTGAAATTCAGAAGGAGCATTCTTTAAACCAAAGGGCATAACGTTCCACTCATAATGTCCAAAAGGAACATTAAAACCTGTTTTGTATTTATCTTCTTCATGAATTTGAATTTGCCAAAAACCAGATTTCATATCGAATTTTGAAAATATTTTTGAATCATAAAGTTTTTTCAATAAATCTCTTTTATTAGGAATAGGATATCTAATCCAATCTAAAACTTTATTTAAAGGTTTATAATTGATAACTAATCTTGGTGATCCTCTTTCTAATTCAGCAGCATTCATAACATAGAAAGCTGAACAAGACCAAGGAGATTTAGAAGGTCTAATTAATTTTTTGTCCAATAAATCTTGAATTTCTTTTTTACAATGAGATTCTAATTCATTATTCATATGAATAGCTCTTGATTTTGAAGGAATATCTTTTTCATTAAAAGTTTTAATATAAGGTAATTTGACAATATGTTGTTTTCTGTTCCAAAAGGCGTTTGGAATATTTGAGCAAACATTATTTTCAAACTTTTGTTTTAAAGCTATAATTTTGTCTTGAATATACTTATCTTGTAATTGATTATGTATACGAAAATCATTAATTTCATTGATAAGGTAATTTGCTTGTTTTGTTTTATAATTAAGAATATTAATAGTTGAATAAGACGGAGGTTCACAAAATTTAAACATAATTTCTTTTCCAAAAACTTTAGTAATAATTCCATCATCTTGAACCATAAAAGGATATAATTTAGTAATAAAAGGTGTTCCTAAAATTAAAGGAGAAGTAAGATTTTTTACTAAAATTAAATGAGTTTTATAACAATAATCTTGATTGTTACAAATATGAACATCGGAAACTTTATAATTTATTTT